GAGAGAGCGGGCTGGGAGCGGCCCGGCTGTGGCTGGGCCGGGTGCTGTACTATGGCAGAGGCTGCGAGCGTGGTGCCGAGGGTCTTGTATCTGAAAGAGCGGCTCGGCCAGACCCAGGATCCCCAAAAGGTACCGTCTTGCCCGCACCTGCCCAGGAAGGAGGCTGCAGTCAGCCTTGCGGGGGGTGCTCCCCTCTGTCCCCCTTTCTGGACGGCTGCTCCCCCCTGTCCCCCGCACACAAGCTACGGTGTCTTGGTAGCTCGCCCTCCGATGGGCGTCTGGGGTTTCCCTGACCTCCTTGTCTTCAGCTGATAACGCCTGGCTGCTTTTCATGCTTCATCCTGAGCACCTAGAGCAGGGCTACTCAACCGGGGGGGCTGCTGCGGCCCCCGGTGAGGTTTGGGGTTCAACACCTGGCCCGTGGGTGGGATCCTCTGAACACGGCCTCGCTCCAGAACAACAAGATCCCCATGGGAGAAACTCAAACATCCTCCAGAACAGTGTTTCTCAACCTTTATTTTATAAAGTACCCCTTTAAAAAAAAACCCCAACAAATCGTAAGTACCCCCAGTAACTACAGTTTGAAGCCACACACATTTTTTTGTCTACCATTGCAACACATTTGTTTAAACAATTTAGTTGTAGCCGGGTGGACGACGAAATATTTGGGTGTAAAAAGTACAAAAATAATAAAGCACTGTAAAACTTCAAACAAAAATTCAGTTTTCTCTAAATTTCAGTTGTGTTGATGTGCCCCCCCTCCCCGAGTTCTCTCGAGTACCCCTAAGTGTACTGGTACCATTGGTTGAGAAACCGTGCTCCAGAACAACAGGATCCCTGTGGGAGAGACTCAAATGTCCTTTTGATGTGTACAGCCAATCTAATAGACACCTATTAGGAGGTGCTAATAAATGGGTTTAAAAAGCAATAGGAATAAAATCTCAAGAATTTAGCATTTCTAATTAGCTTTCTAAAGTATATTATAAAGACCTCTATTTATCTGTAGTTTGACATTTACTTTAAGTGATCTTTTACCCACAATTACGTATTAAAGCTCATGCTGCTGCAGAAATCTGTGCTTATTCTCATGAATTTTACCTTTAATTTGTGTGTGCTGTCTCTAAGATATGTCATGATGAACTGGTATAACAAGGATGTTGATATGCCAGTTCTTTCCATCAGTGCTGCCTTATATGAGTAGCCCTGTTGAATTCAATGGGACTAGTCACATGCCCAGTAGGGATGTTAAATAGTGGTTAGTAAGTTAACTGCGTAGTTGATAAGGGGGTTTGCTGTGACTCTGCTTTTTAAATTTAATAAGAGTCGCCAGGCTTTCACCACATTTAAAGGCAGAGCTTTAGCTATCTGGGACTGGGCACAAGATGATAATGCTCAATCCCAGCTTGTGCAAGGTCCCCTGCTGCGCTTCTGCCTCCCTGTGGAGAAGGTGCTGGGGGTAAACTGCTTTTAAACCGTCTCCCACCAGCGCGGACTCCTGCTCCCCACTTGCTGCCTCTGTGTCAGAGGCAGCAGTGAAGGAAGCAACTAGTTGAGTAGTGATAAGCTTAGGCTTATTGGGTAGTTGACTATTTGAGTCACTTACATCCCTAATGCCCAGTAGAACCTCAGAATAAAAAACATCTTTGGAATAAAGGTTGCTCATAACTCTGCAATGTTTGCAACTCTATTCAAAACATTATGGTTGTTCTGTCAAAAGTTTATAACTGAATATTGAGTTTAATACAGCCTTAAACATTTTTTATGCCGAAGAAAAACGCTGCCTTTAGCCCCCTTAATTTAAACAAATCAGGTACAGAATAGTTTCCTTACCTAATGAGTTTTTTTTAAATCTTCCCCTTTATTTTTATTTTTTTTATAGTGGTTTAACACAATACAATATTGCAGGCATTCTCCAACCTTATTGCACAGTGATCCCCTTCTGACAAAGTTACTACATTACCCTGGGAGGGGGCCAGAGAGAGGGGCCATAATCCAAGCTTCACTGCTCTAGGGAGGGTTAGAATTCGGGCTTCAGCCCTGTGTCCCATGAAGTCTAATGCTGGCCCTAGTGGCCCTATTAAAATGGTGTTGTGACCCACTTTGGGATCCTGACTCAATTTGAGAGCTGCTCCTGTACAGTAATTAGTCGTTTAACATGTACCCGCTTAACACATTTTCATAATAGAACTTTTTTTGGGAAAGTTTTTCGACTAACACGACCGTCCCCAAAATAACACGAAAATAATCAAGTGGTGGACTACTTCGTGTGGCAGTTTAAGTTGGTGAAAACAGTGGTAATACGCATGAGTAGATGAATACATGTGGTCACAGTGCTCTTCTGCTCACTCACGTGTTTGTCAGAGGCTGCGTCTAGACTGGCAAGTTTTTCCGCAAAAGCAGCTGCTTTTGTGCAAAAACTTGCCAGCTGTCTACACTGGCCGCTTGATTTTGCGCAAAAGCACTGATGTTCTACTGTCTGAAATCAGTGCTTCTTGCACAAATGCTTTGACGTTCCTGTTCAGGCAAAAGCCCTTTTCCGGAAATGTTTTTGCGCAAGAGGGCCAGTGTAGACAGCTAAAAACTGTTTTGCGCAAAAATGCCCTGATGGCGAAAATGGCGATGGGGGCTTTCTTGCGCAAAACCGCGTCTAGATTGACACGGACTCTTTTCCGCAAAAATTGTTTTTACGGAAAAGCGTCCGTGCCAATCTATACGCCCTTTTCCGCAAGTGCTTTTAATGGAAAAACTCTTCTGTTAAAAGCATTTGCGGAAAATCATGCCGGTCTAGTCATAGCCTTTGTGTTTTAACAAACCGTGGTGACATGTGTTGCTATATATCTAATTGACATTGATGACCCAGCACCAACAAAAAATTGACTTTGCTGCTTCCACCACCTGAAATGCAACCCCCACCTTTTCTGTTACTTTTAATAGGATAATTGACCCTGCATAGCACTTTTTTGCTTAGCATGAACATTTTCAGAAATGCATCTATAGTGTTAAATGAAGAATTACTGTACTGTATTCATTCCTG